CAATGGGTCAGGAAGATCGCTCGTTTCTTGCCAGGCGCAGCGTCTTTCAGATTGTTGGTCTCCAGGAACATCTGGAACCTGTCTATATACGAGTCCCAGTCTTTGTTAGCTGGGTCAAATGGAGCGGGTGGTATGGCGCCGCTGGCCATCTTGCCGTTGTTGGCGCTTTCTTAGCCATGTGCTCTGTTCGGTACTCAGCGAGTGCTCAGTCAGCTCTATCGTCTCCGAATCCCACCCTCGTCGCCAGTGTTAGATCTGGAGGAGTGGTCGCAATAACGGAGACGAGGCATCGATAGTGACTCAATTCAACTCTTTAATAGTGACTTCAGAACAGAGCAACAACTAGGGCAGCAGCAGCTCTTTTATAGAGCTGGCTGCTGTCACAACGACCAATGAATTTGAACTAACCGCTCTAAAAGCGTCCAATCAGAGGCGGCCCATTGTCAGCCAATCAGATCAGCCAGAATTGGCCAATCACGATTCGCTTATCCGCGGGCCAATCCGAAGTGCAGGATTACAAGCCTGCTGCTGAAGTAAGGTAGTATAGTTATTGTCAAATGAGTTTGTTTAGTTCGTAACATTTAATATGCCATAGATCTTTCAAGCAAGTAAACACACCTGGGTAGGGAGATTACTCATAAAATTACCCATTCAGCACTTCATATCTATATGTTCCATGCATTTATGATAAGATAAGATCAGCGTTCAGATTACAGTATTGCAAAACCTATATTTTCCAGTCCTGTGAAATAATCCTGGAAATACATGGGCCACAACCTGTGATGCTGGAAAATAAAGATACTGTAGAATTCTAGACTGAAGGGGTGACTAATGATTGTTTCAGCTGCCAAAACAAAGGGGGAAGTTCAAAGTTGCTATCATATTTAACGTAGGTATGCTTCCTGATGGGAAATATTACAACATAGTGGACACAGAAGAGAACAGAACTCTGGAAATCTCTGTCTTTGAAAGAGCTTTATTTCTGTAGAGACAATCACTTCTGATTAAACATCCTTGCATATATCTCACATTTGCCTGAGTAACCCCCTCCCTCTCCAATTCCTGCCTAGTATTACTTTTTGAAAATGTTGGAATGTTCATAGATACATGAAAAGTGTGGTTAAAATGTCTTCCATGTTCATCAATTAAGTTTGCTGTGTATTTTTTAAGAAATTACAATTCTTTCTTCGATATGACTGCTCCAGACAGAAATGTCCACACTTTTTAAAAAAGTGTTCCATAAGAGAAATACATCCAATTGTTTGTAAATTCCTTGTTACTATGGAGTTAACATCATATACCTATGAAGAACAACATCATGATTTTAACTACAGTGCTGCCTTAGAAATGAAAAGGAAAAAAGTGGAGAGCACTGTGTCAGATACTGCTGGTTCAACTACTCAGAACTTTGTGGTCTGGAAATAGAGCCTTTTTAAAAATCACTTGTGGGATTCACTCTGTAGACTAGAATTCCCTTATATGGGAACATCTTATTGGATCATATTATAGGTCCCTGGATTTCCAGAACTAGGAAGTTAGATATTTTTGAGTTGCAGAGAAATAACTCAAGAGTTCTGATTGGCTGTTCCTAATAACAACTATTCTGCTGTTGAAGCACAGATGCTATATATAGCTGCCTGCTTAATTGTTTTTGCCTAAGTTGGATGACTTATCATCCAACAATGACAGCTCCATTTTTCCAAGGGTCATTTGAACAGACATATATAGCAATAGCACATAGACTTATATACCGCTTTACAGCCCTCTCGAAGCAGGTGAGCATGAGCCAGTGAGATTCAAACTGTCAAACTGCTGACAGTCAGCAAGAATAGCCTGCAGTAAAGTTTCAGGAGTAAAGAAAACTGGATGGAGCGTAAATTTAATGAACAAGTACTGTTTAGCATTAAAATGGAAATAGCGAACCTAATGTAGTCTACTACTAGTTCCAGATTTGAACTGTACCTGCCCATTGGAATTAAAATACTAGGTGGATTCACCTTAAAACTAGACTTTGGTGCTTATCATTTATTGGTCAACGTGGGCAAAAGAATTGCTTTTTTGGATACATTACACTATCAGTTTCAAAATAATTTGAATTATATTTGCATGGATCCAGTTTCAGTTATAGAATCAGTCCATTGCAATCAATTAGACTTGTCATACATAACTAATATCAGTTCTAGGGATTAAATATGACTAAATCTGAGTCATAAAGTTCTTATTACAGACACTGAGTTTTAGCCGATGTGAACTTTTGCAAACAAAAAGCAAGAAGATACCACACATAACTCATTTGCACTGCCCAATTCAACTAAAGAGCTTCATAAGTTCTATTTAATATTCAGAAAACCTAGTATGATCTTATTTGTGAGAAACCCAGCAATCAGGGTCCAATCAGCAAAATGAGCCTCCATTATTACAGAATGTTCTATCAGTTAAAAGTTTGGAAGGTAGAAAATTATTTACATTTCACTTTGATCAGTTGACAGTACAACAGTCCTATTTCACTTTACTCGTGATAGCAGTCCTATTTAGGGATATCTGTGTTCTGGTAATTTCTTGAATTTCTTTAAATTCTTCGGGAGGAAGGGAAGAAAGAATCCATTTCTTTCCATGATTCTACTTTGACACAGGGGAAAGCATTCAGGAGCACTATGAAGTTGTGGAGACCCCAGGAAAATCTGCCTAATTCTTTTACATCAGAATAAATAAGAACACTAGGTGTTGCTAGTGGTGACAAAGAGAAAGAGGGCAATTGCTTATCAAAAGAAAAATAAAACAAATATTGTTGCCATGCTCCAATTTTCTTTATTGAAGAGCATATTGGCATTTGATTATTTAATTTATCTCCACCCATCTCCTATTTTTAAAAAATGTATTTATAGTAGTCATATAAAATCAAGGCAGTGTACCCAAATTCTAAGAAAAGAGTAATGAAGAAAAAGCACAAAGTGCATATAGAATAAGAGATAAATCTTAAATTACTTATGAAGCTGAGGAAATAGGGTCAAGCAGTCCTAGCTCTGAAGGAAACAGCATTTCACAGCTTGAGAATGATGCAGACTCTTTCTAAATTCTTCAGCAAAGGAACCTCCATCTTTTGTTGTGGGATCAGCTGTAGCCTCTGTTTTTTTGGCAGCTTCTCCCACCTAAACCTCAGATTGAGCCTGTGTGAGTACTTACAGTGGATCAGAAGGGAATTGAGATCAATTCCCATAAAAATAAAAAATATGAGCCAGCAGTATGCGGCAGCTGCCAAAAAAGTCAAAGCAGCCCTAGGCTGCATCAACAGGGGATAATATCAAGGTCACATGAAGGGTTAGTATTGCTTTATGCTACTTTGGTAAAACCACATTTGGAATACTGAGTCCAATTCTGACCACCAGATACACACAAAAAATGTTGAGTGCAGAGAAGAGCAATAAAGATGATTAGTGGTCTGGAGGTTAAAACATGATAAATAGTTACAGAAATTGGGTGTGTCTAAGAAGCTTAGGGGTGACATGATAGCAGTTTTACAATATGAGGGGATGTTACAAAGAAGAAGGGATTGTCATATTCTCCAAAGTACCTGTGAGCAAGACAAGAAGTAATGGATGGAAACTAATCAAGGAGAGATCCAACCTAGAACTAAGGAGAAATCTCCTGTCAGTGAGAACAATCTTGCCTTCAGAAGTGGTGGGCATTTCATGAATGGAGGTTTTTAAGAAGAGATTGGACATTTACTGGTCTGGAATGTTATAGGGCAGTGATCCCCAACCTTTTTTATGCCGCGGCCCGGTACCGGCATCAGCTGGGCGCCGCGGCCCGGTACCGGCATCAGCTGGGCGCCACCATCTTTTTTTGATGAAAAAGTGCTTCCGGTGAGCTTTCTACCCGGAAAAGCTCACCAGAAGCACTTTTTCATCAAAAAAAGATGGCGGCGCCCAGCAAACCAGCGGCCCGGTAGGACTTGTTCCACGGACCGGTCCCGGTCCGTGGACCGGTGGTTGGGGACCCCTGTTATAGGGTCTCCTGACTGACAGGGGGTTAGACTAGAAGATCTCCAAAGCCCCTTCAAACTCTGCTATTCTATATTAAGGATGGGGGAGGGTAGCTGCTTCAGTTGGCATCTAATTCTAACAAAAATATGAGGACATTTCTGAAGCTCATCTAGTCCATAGTTGGCCAATGCAGCACATGTCAGTGATGTTGCATTGTAGCTCCTCTGATCTAGGAACAAAAACAAAATGAAATTCACCAGGTAAATCCTTTGATAATCTCATGGGACAATATAGATCAAAAAGTGCAAGGGGAGGATTGTTCCACAACTGGAGAAAATTTGACCAAAAAATAGGTGGATGTAGGCCATCTGTAGCTATAAGGAATTCATTAAGGACAATCCTATACCCAAGTACTACAGGAAACTAATCTGAAATCAAAGTGTATATAAGAAAAGTCAACATTTTAAAGGAAAGGACACAGCTGCTATACTAGTTTAAACTGATAACTGGCACCTTTGGTCCTAGCTGGCACTTTAATTTGAGAAGCAAGGCTGAATTCAGTACAGATCTGACATAGATGAGCAAATTGTTTAATACACAACATTACAGTTTAGCAAAGAATGAACTCCCTGGATGTGCATATGTGCACTCAAGCAGTTGCTTGGATATCTGTGTGTACATTGCAGCAGCACAAGTTGTGCCCCTGTCATGACAAGGGAGGGAGGAGCTGTTTTCCCTGTTTCCAAAATGCAACCTTGGCTCAACCAGAGGTCTCCGCAGACTGCAGAAACTCTGAATGGGAACACCACCATTTCACAAACTGTCAGGAGTTGCCATCCCAGCAAAGAGTTGGACATTCTTGGCTTACCAGCTTTCTTAGCAGATTCCCAGCATAATGTGAGACAGAGTCCAATGATCAGGCTGCCTTCCTGATTGGCCTTTGAGTTATCTGTGTGGCTCAGCCCCCTAGCTTTTATTTATTTTTCCTTCCTCATTTTCCTTTTCCTTGCATTGCAGGTGCCATAATTGTAAGTTATCCTTCACACCACCAACAGGATGTTCCTAATATGGCTGGGACTTGTGCCAGTGATGGAATTTTGTGTCAGCACAGTCCATGCAGGTAAGATTCGAGGCAGATCACTTTCTCTTGCAGATGACCTAGACTAGTAATATACAGTATTTTCACAAAACTGCTTGTGTAAAAAGCAACTCCAAGTTCTGTAAAGGCTTGAAGACCTGGCTCTGCCATTTGGCCTGAAGCCCCAACCAGGGTACCCTTCTAGACTCCACGTGTCCCTGTGTGCTTTGTGTTCCCCTCCTCCCTGTTTTTTAACAGTATTATTGTTATTGTTTTATTATTTTAATGTATACTAGTTTTAATGTTTGTAAGCTGTCCAGAATCATCTCTGATGAGATGGGTGGCAAATAAATTTAATAAAAAACAAAGTAAATAAACTTGGCTGGAAAGGGGATGGGGAGACCTGCAAATGAGTCCAATCATGGTTCCACATGCATATTAAAAATGAAAATGTATCATTTTCTTCTTTATTATTTTTCTATCTGTTATTCTGCAATATTTTGACTGCAACATTCCAGGCAAGGGTCTGATTCACCCTGGAAAGGTCTCACTGCTCTTCCATTGATCAGCTTTCCCCCTCAAGATATGCTGAATCTTATATCTAAAAAAAAAGAAACATGCTAACTAAAGAAGACATGTTAGTAATCAGATAGAACACTTGGTTGGGAAGCCTGGCCTAGGCTGCCTCTTGCCTTCTGGATTCCAGTCAGTCTTTCTATCCTACCCATGCCCCATCTTAATGCTGAAGTGTAGGGCATACTGACAAAGAGCAAGTGCAATGAAGCAGGGGACATTTGGGAAGTTTACTGTTTTGCGATCAGCTCCTCCCTTTCCACTGATTTAATCTAAGGTGGCTGAATGGAATAGCAATCCTAATAGCAACTGGGTACACCTATTGTTACATGGGAAAAAAGGAATTATTGTATAGCTTACTGATGTGATACATTAGATGAGTTTGCATAAGACAATGAACCATAAACTAAACCACACAGGCTGGATTTGCAGAACATGTTAGGCTAAAATATAGCTTGCTGTTTTGTTACCATTTGTTTTGTATATACCTTTTGTCTAGGAGCTCAAAACAGATCTTACATGGAGGGAGGGAGTATCTCCTTTCATTTTATTGCTCATATCAACAATCCTATGAAGTAGGTTGGATATGTGACTGGCCCTAAGTCACCCAGAAAGTTTTCATCAGTAAGGCTGATAAACCTTGGGTGATAAACTTGTACTTCTTCACCATATTACCTTCCATAACCACGCACTGGTTAAAGCATATTTCGGGAGCACAATTAGTATCCAGAAATACTCTGCTTAAAATAAAATAAGATGTATTTCCTATGACTGTAGTATTTGATGGTTCAAATAAGTCTTACCAGTAACTGAACACCCAAAAGCATAATTCAGTCTGATACAAATAAGCATATAGAGTAAATTCTACTCAATTCAATTAGATTTTCTCTCTTCCCTTTAATAATACCAATTGAACCACAGAGGTTTTGAGCAAAATAATGTGGCATAATTTGGCAATAGTCATCCAATATGTAGTAAGCAGGTTATCATTTTGTCATTTGCAAATATGCACTACTCCTTTTAAAAAAACATTTTCTTTCACAAACCCCCTCCCCACTTAGGGTTTCTTATGTATTGAACATGTTTAGGTTTTAAGCAGATGAAGTTCAATTTATTGGTTAATTTAACCAAAGAAATGTACAACAAAGAAATTCCAGTTTGGGTGGAGAAATGTTAATGGCAGAAATGTTCATTATCAAGAATATGTTATCAAGTGTGATGGGATAGAAATTAAAGTTGATTGCTTCCTGGGCATTAATTTTTTCCTTTTAGGGAAATAATTTGTCAGGAAATCCTCTAGTTTTAATCCACATGCAGACACAGATGGCTGTTTCATAAGAGAATAATGCACTTCTTTCTATTCCACAGTCCACCATATCAGCAGCCTTAGCTTCATTTTGTCATTACAAAGCACTTGGAACCATTTCAAATTATGCTTCTCTCTGTATTATTGGCCAGATGTTTCAGCTATTTGTGCAAGTACAATTTCATTCAGAATGTTCTATCCAAGAGTGCATAACCCATATGCTTTAGTTGCCCCTTCTCACTCACTGCTTACTACTCTAATTGTGATATCTGTCTCCTACTGTTTTCAGGTCATTTGATACTCCATATGGACACTGTGATTGAAATTCTGAACGATGTGGAAATCCATTTCAAAACCCCAGACCTAATGATGGCACAGCTATACCAGGAATTGGAGTTTTGTAATAGTAAAGTTTGCCAGTTTGTTCTTGGTCCAGTGACTTCCAGGACCTTGGACTCGCCTTATCTGAGTAAGGCAAAGAGAATGTTCTTTAAAAATCTAATGAATCATACATTTCATGGCTCCGAAGTGGAACATGGGGTAGTCTTAACTCCTGATGGAACCACAATTTCGATTAGTCATTTATTTGCTGGAATAGCAGCTGGATTGAAAATGAAAAATGAGTTGACTCTGCCTGAGAAACCTTTGATCACTGGTCCTCCAAACAGTTCTGGTGAAGAATCACAGCTTTCTTTGGATCCCCTCATTTCCAGCACTATTTCAATGGACCTTGGAATGACTTTTCTCTTATTTTACTCTAAGGAGAACCAAGTAGCCCTGGGACCAAATGGCTGTTGGGATAGTATTTCTGAACCCCGTACTTTTATCTTAATGGGTCCTCCCTCGTATATGCCTGATGCTGTTATCAATGGTGCAATGGATGGCTTTATTTTGGGCACTTACTTGGTAGAGAAGGTTGATCCACCATCTAATATCAGTGTTCTGCTGAATGACTATTATGGCTCTAAGGGCCTGAATGGGGAAGAAAAGATACGCAGTAATTTCCGCAGAAAATTTTTTGCAGCACTGCTGAGTAAAGAAAAGCTACAGGAGCAGGTAGAAAATGCTCTGGGACTTCTCTGGAAGATGAATGAAGCCAGCTCCCTCTTTGAAGGAATCACAGACAAGAAATTGACATTTCTGGCAAAACAAGCTGTTGATGAGTTCATGACGATGTATGTAGGTATGTCACTTGTTAGAAAAATAGATATTCTGATTTCACTTATTGCTGATGTTTGAGATACTGCATTGCTGGTAATTAGTTCAAGTGAAGTCATTTATTTTACTTATTTGCGACACTTACATACTCCCCTCTTCTTACAGTCCATTCTAAGCAAATATCTCATGCCATGTGAAGTATAGTCCCTGCAGTGTAAAAAGACACTTTTAGTTAAATGAAACCTCTTCTCAGGTTCTTGAACAATCCAGCCTCTTGAACCATCCACCACATTGTGGAACTAATGAAAAGATACTGGCCTTCAGCCCTCCATCTGCCACAATATGCTCTCTAGGCCCATAACAATATTTTGCTATCCTACTATTATTCCCTGACACAGTAACTCAGTCTAGCTTTGCTGGCTGAGGAACTCTGGGAGTTGAAGTCCACAAGTCTTAAAGTTGCCACGGTTGGAGACCCCTGAGCTAATGCTCAAAAATGTCTTCATCCTATTGCAGGTGGAATGCCAATGGGGACTCTCAAGCAGGACATAAGAGCAAGCATGTCTCCTATGACACTTATGGCATTTAGAAACACACTGGTCCTGATACTTATATACTGCTTAGCTATAAGGAACATGTGCCACTATCACCCTCACTTCCTTGGATTTGTCAGGTTTCATTTTAAGTGGTCAAGTTTAAAAGCCAGATGTTGGGATAACAATATCCATAGTTTGGCTATGTGCTGGAGAAAAGGTACTGTCTGTGGTTCAGTATGATTTGAGGAGGGCAACTTCTCACACTGCTACACATATAGTAGTTGGAAGTCTTCCTGTCTATATTGTCTCTGTCATATTTGATTTTATAAATATTTATAATTTCTTGCTCATCTATGGATTCTTGCTACCACTTTGCTAAAATATACTGGGTGATTTGATACTAGGCACTGCATTATCAGCAGTACCCTGGCACCAAAACTGCTCTCTGGTATGCTGTGATGTTTCCTCTTTTGCTCTTCAGCTCTGATGTTTTTCTTCCCACTCCCCTACAGAATGTCCTGCCATAATCCCACGGTGCATATGGGGGGCCCGTCCTTATAAAGGAACACCCACTCAACTTAAGCTGCCCTTGGGATTTGTCTACATCCACCACACCAGCACCCCTTCTAAGCCATGCCAAAACTTCTCCACATGTGCAGCTGACATGCGAAGTATGCAGCGATTCCACCAAGATGACCGTGGTTGGGATGACATTGGCTACAGGTAGAAGTGTCTTTATGTAATATGCATTTCCAATGAACAAACTAGCTACATATTTTGATAGCATTTTATCAAAAAATTGTACAATGTATTATATATTTAGAGTATTAAAACCTGTGTACTGCATTTATAGTAGGGCAAAAAGTGGTGAAAAGCAAAATTCCAATTAATCCAGGCAAAAAATTATTCCCTGTTCAAATTATAATGGGGAGCTCTATATTTGAAGAAACTTTAATAGATAAAAAATGAACATAGATAAGCTATCTGCATGTTGTCTTGCATTCCTCTAACAATGTTTGGTTTGAAGCAGCAATCCTATACATTTGTTTCATATGTTCCCATTTTAGCTGCACTGGAATATAAATCATATAGATTACTGTTTATTTCTAGGAAGGCTTATTTAAATAATATTCATTTCTCATTTGGTTTTGCAGTATCTTTCTACTCGTTCAGCAAAGCTGTACATTCTTACATGGGTTTTATTTTTCCTAAAAGTGTTTTTAAAGTGCATTTCTTTTTATGAAAATGGAAACATTTCACAAGCTATTTCCACTGCTTTTCTTGATACTTTTCTTCTGTTTACTTTTCTTTCTGTTTTCTTCTTCTGCACAGCTTTGTTTTTGGCAGTGATGGCTACCTCTACCAAGGCCGGGGTTGGCACTGGGTAGGAGCTCACACCCGGGGCTACAACAGCAAAGGATATGGCATCAGTTTCATTGGAGACTACATGAAGACCCTCCCAGACTCCTATGAGCTGGAACTGATGAAGAACAACTTCATTCAGTGTGCAGTAAAAGGTGCCAGGCTTCAGGCAAACTACACCATCCATGGACACCGCCAGATGGTACCCACTTTATGCCCAGGAGACAGACTTTTCCAGGAGATAGAAACATGGAAAGGTTTTAAAACAAGATGCTTTATAGACAAGGACAGCAATAAGATTTGTATCTAATATGGAGCCTGGAACTAAAATACAAAAGACCTTTATCTCAGTACCCTTTTCAGACACCAGGGGGTAACCTTTCACACTAGCAATGATTCAATGGCTCAATCCAAATTCCCCAATTAAAATACATTATCAAAAATTCATCCATTTGCATTCTTTATTTAAATGTTTGAGGTAGGAGCTGTAGCAGAGGTGGGATTCAGCCAGTTTGGACCGGTTCAGCCAAGCCAGTTGTTAAGATTTTGTGCAGTTTGAAGAACTGGCTAATTGCACCATTGGCTGGCCCCACCCACCCCGCCTGCCCCCCCCCTCCCGGTCACTCCTTATCCTCATCTGCCTTGGCCGCAGCACAGCAGGTGCTGCTTTCTTGCTCCCTCGCTCGCTAGCTCACTTGCCTCGACCACATGGCCCCTATGGCCCAGCCCACGACCTGCCTTCGACCTGGCCTCTCACATAGCCCAGCTCCATGACAAGCCTTTCTTCACCATTCTCCATTGCCTCCCATGCGACCCAGCTAACTGCATGCCTGGTGAGCCTTTCTTCGCTTCTTTGCTGGCGCGAACAGCCTGCCACCGCCGCCACCTCTTTGCTGGCCCAAACCACTACCATTGCCTCTTTGCCAACATGAATGGCCTGCGTCGCCATCTTTTTGCTGGCCTGAACTGAGGCAGCAGCGGCAGCAGGCTATTTGCACTACCAAGGAGGCAATAACAGCAGGCCATTCATGCTGGCAAAGAGGCAGCGGCATCAGGCCAGTGTCTCAGGGTGGAGTCATGCCCAGCTGTACCAACAAAGGCCGAAAGTAGCCGCCCACTGTTTCCTGCTGCAATTTTTTTTTAAAAAAAGCTTTGACTGTCAGGCAGCGAGACCTAGCAAGAGATGAGGAGTTGGAGAATCACTGTTGCTGTTGCTGCACAAAGGTAAGTCTAAGGTTAGAGGCATCGCCACCACCGCTTCAGCCCGCCTGCGCTGCCCCACCTTGCCATGAGTGACATTGAGTTGGTCATGTCCACTCAGTCACATGACCACTACCCCAGCCACACCCACCTTGTCATTAGGAAGAACCAGTTGTTAAATTAGTTGAATTCCACCACTGAGTTGACTGTAGTGGATTCTGGATGGAGAAGGCATGAAATAAATGAAGAAATAGTGCAAGAGTGGCAGAAAAACCCAAATCTGGCTTAATTTAATTAAACAGCCAGCCCTCTGAGGTTGGTGATGCTTCTATACTTGTGAACCCCAATTTACAAAGATTCTTCTATCAAATATATCAGGAAACAACAGCCCAGAGTCTATAAAATGGTCAATTATGGGAAAGATTAAAATGATAAGAAGAAAAGCGAACAACTACATTCACAGAATTCCCAATAAAATAACTTTTTATCTGTGTCATGATTGGGACCTAGGATTTGAAGACACATGTAAGTTCCTTGTAAATGAGATTACTAATATATTAGCTAACATGTTATTATTATTAGATATTCATTCTACCTATTTATATATAATTCAAGATTATGAGCATATTTAATACTCTTATGTCGTATTTCTCCCACAGCAACAACCCTGTGGGCTGGGCTCAGAGTAACTGGCCCAAAGTAACTTCCTTGCCTAAGGCAGGCCTAGTTTCCTGGTTTCTAGGGTAACACCTTAACCATTACACAAAACTAGTTCTTAAATTAAATATAATTATATCATATATATATGTTTTCTTAATCCCCATCTTCAAAAAGGGAGACCCAAGCCTAGTTGAAAATTACAGACCAATCTCCTTATGCTGCGTCACCTGTAAAGTCATGGAATCAATTATTAACCAATCCATCATCCTCCACTTAGAGACAAACAACCTACTCTCCAATAAACAATTTGGTTTCAGAAAAAAACTATCCTGTAATCTGCAACTCTTACACTGCAAAAACATATGAACGACACAACTCGAACAGGGCAAAGCAATAGACGCAATCTACATAGACTTCTGTAAAGCCTTTGATTCAGTGGTACACGACAAACTACTCCTAAAAATAAAATCCTATGGTATCTCTGGACAACTGAATAACTGGATAGAAGCATTCCTGGCAAACAGACAACAAATGGTCAAAATTGGGAGCGTCCTATCAAATTCTGTACCTGTCAATAGTGGTGTCCCCCAAGGCAGTGTTCTAGGACCAACTCTCTTCATACATAAATGACCTCTGTGATCATATTAAGAGCAATTGCGTTCTTTTCGCTGATGATGTAAAGCTGTTCAATACCACAGACAATACTGCTACCCTACAAAAAGATCTTGACTATGTATCAGAATGGTCAAACAAATGGCAACTTCAAATCTCAACAAATAAATGCTCTGTCTTACATATTGGCAAAAAAAATCAGAAAATAAAATACAAGCTGAATAGTCAAGATCTTGTTGATGACCCAAGCTCTGTAAAGGACCTTGGAATACTCACCTCTAATGATCTAAGTGCTAGAGCCCACTGCAACTACATAGCCAAAAAGGCATTAAGAGTTGTTAACCTAATCCTACGTAGCTTTTTCTCTGGTAATATCACACTACTAACCAGAGCATACAAAACATTTGCTAGACCAATACTCGAATACAGTTCATCAGTCTGGAACCCTCATTACGTATCTGATATTAGCACAATTGAGAAAGTCCAGAAATATTTCACAAGAAGAGTTCTCCACTCTTCTACTCGTTGTAGAATACCTTATGCCACCAGACTTGAAATTCTAGAACTAGAAAACCTTGAATTACGCCGTCTTCGGTCTGATTTAAGCATGGTATATAAAATCATACATTGCAATGTCCTACCTGTCAATGAATACTTCAGCTTCAACCATAACAACACAAGAGCACACAATAGATACAAACTCAAAGTAAACCGCACCAAACTTGATTGCAGGAAATACGACTTCAGCAATAGAGTGGTCAATGTCTGGAATACTCTACCCGACTCTGTAGTTTCTTCCCCAAACCCCAAAAACTTTAACCTTAGACTGTCTACTATTGACCTCACCCCTTTCCTAAGAGGTCTGTAGGGGGCGTGCATAAACGCACCAACGTGCCTACCGTCCCTGTCCTATTGTTTCTCTTATTCTTCTTTTATTTTTCTTATATGTACCCATTTCATGTATTCACAACTATGTATACACTTATACTTATTATCTTGTAAACAATTGGCAAATCAAATAAATAAATAAATAAATAAATAAAATAAGTATGGTATTCAGCTTTGTTCAGGTATTTTCCCACGTCATTATGGCACATGAGATTCTGCCGAAACGTCACTACAACTTTAAAAGCACAACTATAATGACGTGGGAAAATACTTGAACAAAGCTGAATAGCATACATATAAATACCCGCAAAAATTTAAGAAAACAAATATCAGACCTCTGGGGGGAGGAAATAAACAGCCGGACCAAAACCTACAAGAAGCTGGAAGTTAAAAGAGCAGGAATACTATTACTATTACAGGATTACTGACCTTAGAAGGCCATGACTTGCTGTTGGGATGGCGTGCCTTTCTCTGGTATAAGGGAACTAAAACACAGGGGTATTTTAGAAGACGTATATATATCATATATATATGTTTTCTTAATCCCCATCAAGAGGCATTGTTTTTTAACTGGGAGAAGATAAAAAGACAATATTACTTAAAAATTCCAACATGGATATCAACTATTGAAGCTTTTTCTTATCCAATAATATATAAAAAGGAACAAACAGTTAGATATGGTGAGATATCGGATGAAAAGGGTGAACTTAAATCTATGCAAGCGTTGGAAGAACAAGGTGTAAAAATGAATTGGTTTTCATATTTGCAAATACAATCTAGGTTTGATAAAGACTCTAAAGTATTTATGATAAGTTGACTGATTTAGATAAAATTTTGATGGGTACTGATGAAAAGGTAATTAAAAAACTTTATGGACATTTATTAGGATTTAAATTGGAGGAACAAGTTAAAGAAACGATGATTGCTTGGGAGAAAAATTTTGGATATGGGATTGATTTAGAAAAATGGCAAAAACTGGGGTCTCAAAATTATAAAATGACAATGTCAACAGCATATAAAGAAAATTTGTATAAGATCTTTTACAGGTGGCACCTACCCCCGACGAGACTTGCGAGAATGTTTAAGAATACATCGGATAAATGCTGGAAATGTCATCAGATACCTGGTTCATATTACCATATGTGGTGGATATGTTCGGACGCAAAGAAATATTGAACTAAAATCCACACATGGTTGGAAAAAATGATAAAACAACATATAGACTTTAAACCAGAGATCTTTTTATTGGGAGTCATACCGGCCATATACAATAAAGAATTGAAATACTTGATTGTAAATGTTTTAACAGCGGCCAGAATTGTATTTGCGAAGAACTGGAAAAATGACAAAATACCCATGCAGGAGGAAGTTATTAAAAAAATTATGGACTGTGCTGAAATGAGTAAACTGACATTTGAAATTAGAGAACAAGAAGACAAGCAATTTTATATGATATGGGATTTGTTTTATCAATGGTTGGATAAAAAGACATGGTAAGGTAAAAGAATAGATAATTTTGTTATAGAAGTATAGACTGATACAAAATATAATGTAGACATATATAACCATTGGATGATAACATAATATAATATTGATGGAATAAATAGCAGGATAATTAATAATTGATAAATAGATAAGCATGTTAGTTTGACAATGTGAGATTGATATAAATTGTGAACAATGATTATGAAAGGATTGCACAAAAGATTCTAAACCAACTGAAACACTGTATATACAAAATGGAAGATGGTTTTATGTTTTTTTTATGTATTGTCTGTGTATGTTTGTCTTCAAATAATTTTTTTTAAAAAAAAGACTGCCTTCAAAACAGATAGAAAAATAGCAGCCATCCTAAGAAACCCCAAAGATAAAATTGATCTGGAAAACCAAGGCATATATGAAGTCCCCTGTACATCATGTCCTGCCACATACATCAGACAGACCAATAGAAGAATAAGTACCCGCCTGGATGAACACAAAAATGCAGTAAAAAAGCTGTAACACACTTCCTCACTAGTCCAACACATGAAAGCCACAGGTCATAGCATTGACTTCAATGGCACCAAAACCCTAACC